TACAATGAGAACTCGAACTCATGATTTTTAGTTCGAGATAGATGTCTTAACCAGTTGAACTAAGTATAAGTTGATGGTCGATGGATTGCACATAATGCTCATTGAGATCATATTATTTCTTTGAAAAGATAAATTAAGTACATTAATTAAGAATTAATAAAACTCTTACCTCCTCTCAAATAAAGAAAGAAAGAAAAAAACTCTTAGCTCCATGATTTTTTAACTTTTTTTTGTTAAGAAAAAAGATAGCGAAAATAAACCAATAAGAAATCCCTATCTACTGTTTTATTTTTTTGAAATAATGATATTAAAAAATCATTTTTTTACACCGGATGAATCAAGTTTAAAATTAAAGTTTTAATTTCATCTAATTAAATTTTAAAATAATAAAGTTTTAAAAAATTTAGGCATAAACGTGCCTACACCCGGTTACAAAAATACTCAAAATGAACTATAAAATCAAATAAAAAATAGCAAATTTGAAAGGAATTCAACTGATTAGGCAGTATTACACAAACTTGTAATTGTAAAAATTAAAATCTCAAATTTTGACGGAGAAAATTGAATTTTACCATTGTTTAAAAAAAATTATGGTTTAATAAGTAATACTTCAACTATATATACATTGATGATTGATGATACTTGATGAGACATAGTAAAGCAAATGATAAATACATATTTTGACAAGGAAATGAAAAAGACTTTACCTAATTATATAAATCAAAGTTTTTATTATATTTGTGGCAGCGGCAACAATCGTGATTTGTATTATTTGTCTTTCATTTTTTTTAGTTATATAGATATGAGGTTGGGAGATCGAACCTTAAATTATATTAAAGTTAATACATGTGTGTGCAGAATAACTTTCGTTCTAGATCTCATCATTTGATAGAGTTTGTTTGAGATTTATTTCCATAACTAGATTGCTTGGTTTTCTCCCTTCCCAGGTAAGTTGTGCTTCTTCTGCTGTTTTTTTTTTTCCTTGTAATATATAAAAAAAGAAGTTGAAAGTATATGTATTATTTGAGTAGCTATACTTAAATCGATATTTGTGTTTCATATTTTAGAAATAATATTTTAAAGCCACTTAAAGAAGAAATGTGTTTCAAAGTTCAAACAACCATTTAGAATTGGAAATTAATGGAACTAAAAAGAATAGAAATTAATGATAAAGTGCATATGTACACCAACCGAAAACCACTAACATTTATTACGAAGTTTGTGAACAAAGAAACGACAGCTAAAAAAATTTAATCGCCTGCCCCGAGGGAACAACCTCAGCTGAAAATCATGTCCTTCTGTCCTATCTTCTTAATTCCAAACATATCCATGTATTAAATGCAACAAAACAAAACCAAAAAACAAAATAAAAATTAAATACTATTATTTGTTTGGTTGAATTTATTTTCTATACTTTCAAAACGTCGGTTTTGATTCCTCTGCTTTCAAATTTTGTAGTCATTGTACTCTCAAAATGTTAATTTTAGGGACCAAAGCAAAATTTTGACATGCATTTGTACGAGTTCTTTAATATAAATTTATGGTTACATTAATCAGTGAGTGAAGTATCATGTTAAATGTGAGCAAAATGAATGATATAAAAATAAAAATGGACCGACCATGACCACTACGAAGACTAAAATAAATGTTTTGAAAGTACAGTTCCCACATTGGTTAGGGAAGGAAGTGATCATGGGTATATAAGATAGGACAATTATCTTCATTGGTGTGAATCCAAAGGTAAAGCCGCGAGGGCTAAGCCCAAAACGGACATGCTTATACTATTACCCTAATGGGTTGAGTAAATTTATAAAAATTTGAAAGTATTGGTTCATCGACTTTGAGATATGTGGTGTGGTGTTCGTTAATTTAAGACTAAAATAAATTTTAAAATAAAAAATAAAAAAAAGGCATGAAATCAGATTAGTATTTAAAAAAAACCAAAAAACAAACTCTACTTTTACGGTCAGCAAACAATTGGATAATTAATAAAGAAAAATTTCACTAATACGTAACTGCAAGAAATGTTTATTTTTCTTTTGTTTACTCATTACATTTTCTATGAGGTTGAATTTAATTTGAATTATACTATTCTTTGTAAAATTTATAATTTTATGACATATCGAGAATACATTTTTTTTATGGTGTCTATACCTATATAAATGCTTGTTCATTATTTAAAACACATATAACTGTTTATTTTTTTTTAGATCTTTAACTATTTTACATCTAAATATATGGATTTATTTTTTATATAACATAATTAAACATTAATTTTGAAAGGGCGTTCACGTTATTAAATATGTAATTTAATTATTATATTTTGGGTTATTTACTTATTTATAAAAATAACTTTAATGTTTTGAAAATTCTAATTTTATTCTTTACAAGTTGATCTTTTTTTTTCATTTACTGTTTCAAGATACTATTGACAAAATGATGATATAAAATATAAAAATATATTTTATCCATGTAGTTAGACGACATAACCTACATTTTGATTTAATTAAATAGACACACTCATATAATTAAAAACTTCTTACTCCATCATATGATCTAAACTAGAGTAACATATACAATTTGAAATGACTTAATGTTATATGTAATGAACTTATTAAAAATATATATTTTTTAGCGAGAACCTTATAAAAGAATACATTTTTAAATTGGCAAAATATATATATACACACACATGTATATAGACATATATATATATACCCTCACTTTCAAACACACCTTTTTCAAACACACCTTTTAGTGACCATAAGAATCTTAGAAAAAAAATTAATACGCAAAAAAATTAAAATTTGAAGTTCTTAAAATAACCTACAAACATTATATTAGAAATTAATTTAAAAAGGATTAAAATTATTGGGATTGGTGGAGCCAAAACGACGTCGGAACAAGTCGGGACGCGTCGAGATCGAAGCGGGAATGAAAAACAGGGAAGCGGAGCACTGTAGGCTAGGGATGCCGAGAGGGCAGCGCCGCGACACTGTCCTGATGGGGGCACGAGCAGTTTCTTTTCGTCCGTAGCGCTATGGCGCTGTTTCGAGTTTATAAATAGCAGTTTTCGGATTTTAGGGTTTCCAAGCTGAATGAGGGGTTTTAGCAGTCGTTTTTCAGAGGGTTTTGGCAGCTAATGCAGCGGCTCGGGTATTGGCAGAGGCATTGGAGTGGATCAAGATCAACATATTTTGGGTAAATAGATCTTGATTATTGTGAGTTTTTCATTCATGTACTAAGTATTAATTGTGTTAAAATACTTAGAAATTAGGAGGTTTTTGCTGGGACCTAGAGGATATTTCTGGGGAGAGTTGTTGTAACAAATCCTTAACATTATTAGTGAATTATCCACATTGAGTAGAAGACTGAACGTAGCTCTTGGTAGTGAACCGATAAAATTGTTGTGTCGGTTTTTTTGTACTTTGCGACGAAAGTATTTTCCTCTAGAGTATAACGCGTCTTGGTGCCCGCTTCAACTTTGCGACGAAAGTATTTTCGTCGCTTCTCCAGCAACGAAAATAATTTTCGTCGTTTTTCCAACGACCCAAAATCGTTTCTGTCTCTAGTTTGCGACAATAAATTAATTTTGTCGCTGAAAAAACGACGAAAATAATTTCGTCGCTAATTAATGTCGCTGAAGCCCTTTTTTTTGTAGTGTTTACAATTTTCTTCCTTACTCCATATTCATATTGTAGTTGTGTGTTGGATATTTTGTGTGGAAAGATAAATTATACAGGATATGGTTAACTTTCCAACAGAAATGAATTCAATAATAATTAAATAAATAAACATTCATGGATCTGAAGTGAAACATTAAAGGCTCATTAATAGTGGCAGCTCGAAGTCAATGAAACATTTAAATACAAAATAATAATTTTGTTATATAAATGTACATGAGCTGTAGTTTTCAATAAATATTTAATTTAATCTAGAAACATTGACGAGGAAAATAGTGGGTTGATTAAATAATTAAAAAAATGCTCAAACACTATTTTGGCCCGGACTTTTGAATTTAGTTTATTTTCGTTATTTGGTATCTGTACTTTTAAACTTATTCATTTCTGTAATAGTTCGTTTTGATCTTTATATTTTTAAATAGTGATATATTTAGTTTTTATTTGAAAATTTTCAATAAAAAATTGACACAAAATAGAAATCTTTAATAAAAATTTTATATCTACATTTTAAGAAGTTGAGTGAGTGAAGTCTTACGTTAAAATTATGTCTAAAGAAATGAGATGAAAATTAAAATGAAAAGACCAAAATGGTTAGTTTTTACAAGTAAAGTAACTAAAATGGATGTTGACAAAGAGAAAAGTACAACCTGACACGTGGATCCATTAACTCAATTCGGTAAGGTCAAAATTGTTCAATAGCCTAAAGGGAGAAGATCGATCTATGTCGGAAGCTGAGCTGAAGACCAAACCAACCGGAGAATTGTTTGTCATCTCCAAAGTGACCTAAAGACACCGACCTCAAATCTGACAACCGATCTTCACTCAAACAGCTTGTAAGTGTTTGTGGGAACAATTCCAACGGCCTTGTCAATCTGCTGTCTATAAAAGAGACATCACTCAACTAATTCATGTACACTATTCTTTCTGAGCATGACCTACAATAACTCGAACCTCTATTAATTTGAGCGTCAGAGCATTTACATTTATGTATAGATCACTCCAATTTGACGCAGGCCAACCTATCCAACTCAACATAATTCTAACACCAATAGATTTTTAAAAAATATATAGACTAAAATGTTCAAAATAGGTTTTGGGAGTATATATTACTTATCAGAGACACCGAAGTAAACGAATAAATAGTATTTAAACTATTAAAAAAAAGACATCATGTGAAACGCGGAATGTGAAAGCACGATCCAATCTTATTATTAGCTTCTGATTTTCAAAGGGCATCGTTAGGGATTTATTATTAAAAAAATAGCAGCTGCCAACTTTCATTCACACTCCAATGCTAATAAAACGGCCCCGTTCCGGCACTTTCTTTCTCCGAGTGAGAGCCTCAAACTTTGAGCCCTTCCGGTGTGAGCGACCGTAGCTGAGCGCAGCCTACACTTACGGAATACGCAGCGGATCAGCCGATGGCGGCGGCGGCGGTGGAAACTGCTACCGGGGACAGCTCACGTGAGAAGCAGCTGAGCCGAACTTCGTCTTCTGATAGCGATGAAATTTATTCAGGCAGCTCCCCTAAAGGTATTTCCATGCTCATTATAATTCATTTAGGCTCTTCCAAGTTCCACTTTTTAAATATTCTAGGGCTTCTTTATTTATTTATTTTTTCAAACTTAACTGTATATAAACGATTTATTTTTGTTTTGTTATCTATATTTTAAAAAATATTTTCAAATTCTATTTAAAGTTCTCAAAACTAAATATCCATTTTGTTTTTTGTTTATATATATATATATATATTTGTAAAAGTATATGAATCAAAGTTCGTAAACTAAAACTCTTTTTAGTAATATTTTTGTTTTCATTTTCTATATTTTTTTAATATTTAAGCTTATAAAACTTAATATATCATCGGTATGCATGTTTATTTCTTTTGTGATTTACTTCTTTTTAATATTTTTTTAAAAGTTGTTTTTATAAACAATAAAAGTATAAAAATATTTACTTCTAAATTTGATATTTTTTTTGTTTATTATAACATGTAAAGGTCGGGGAGATCCGAACTTACATTATTTGAGTCCGAGATAAGTATATCTTAATTATTTGAGTAACAGCGATTGCCTAAATTTGATAATAAGTTAACACAAGTCTATACTATTACTGTGTAAAACAAAAGTAGACTTTTAAACTTGATACTTAATCGGTTAACATATAAATCTATTAAACTTTTCATTAAATACAATATATAAGAATTGAACAACAGTGGACCGTTTTTTTTTTAATGTAAATCTTAAAGATGAAAATAAAATACCTAAAAATAAAAGAATATAAACACACCGAATAAAATATTCAAGGGGCCAACCTTATTCTTCTAGAAATAATAAATAATAAATAAAAAGAAAAAGAAAAAGAAAAAGAAGACCAACCTTATTAAAAACTCAAAATTTCATAAGTATTTTATTTTAAACTTTAGATTTGAAAATATTTTATTTTAATATATAAAACTCCACGATAAATTGCACAAACTACGTACTTCAAATACAAGAGATATTTACATAAATTATCATAAAATAAATAAATATTTTTAAATTTACAATATATATATATATATATATTTATTATTATTATTATTATTTTTTGTTAATTTTTTTTAGTGGATTTTTTGATCTGAATAGGTGGCAAAGCGATCCCTGCAAGTGGGGAAGCAGAAATCTTAATTATGCCTCACGTAATGGACAAGACTCTGATTTTAGACCACAACAACAATAATAACCCACCGCCGCCGCTCACGGTGTCGCTTCCAGACGGCGGCGGCGGCGGCGACGGCGACAAAACCGCTCAAGAGCAACAAGAATTATATCTGAAAACTCTCTACACTTTATCCAATTCCCAAAACTTCTACTGTCCCAACTGCAAGTCTTGTATTACTAGGGTGATTATCCTCCGTGACGCCCCATCATCGAACGGTGGAGCACATTCACCGCCGCCGAGTCAGTCGCTGAGTCATGGACCGAGGGAGCTGCCGCTGTCGAGCCCCAGACCGGCTATCGTAGAAAGTCCACCGCAAGTTCCGGCGGCCGTTCCCGGCGAAGAGGATGAAACTGGAAGTATCTTTTGCGGCAATTGCTTTAGTTTCCTTACTCCAATAGGTGACCTCTTCCTTCATAACTATTTTACTTTTTCTTTTAAATAATATATATTCTTTTTAAAAAAATTTTATCTTCGTGTGATAACGTAACTTTTTTCATAATATCATTAAATATTTGACAACTCATTATTTATTTATTTATTTTTGTTTATGGAGAAAGTTTCTCCTAAAAGTTTGTTCCTATTATTTTTAGTTTAAAAAAAAAGTTTATTTATTTCACAATTTCTAATTAAGTTACTCATATTTGAAAAAATAGGGAATAAGGTTTTGTAAATATAGGGTAATTTGTAGGATTGATTTGTCTATATTGATAGATACTATTAAACGTCTATTTGTGTTTTACTACTAGGATTAGTCACACATTTTGTTATAGTCTATATGTTATAAACCTTTATTAATAATAAAGGTTGACAAACATCTATCATTGATAAATGTACGAGTTGCAATATATTCATAAATTATTTAAAAATTTTGTCAATTTTAAGCCCTACTTTTTTTTTTTTTAAGAATTGTCCAGAATTTCAAAAATAAAAAATAAGTTTTCTATAAGCTTGTTATATATGTAAACTTCTTCCATTTTTTTTTTCTCTTCTTTTTTGGCAGTGCAGTCTATTAATTTATATTTTTAAAAATTTAGTTAATATGTCAAAAATATTGTTTAAAAAAATAGTGACACCTTTAATTCTAAAAGTAAAAATCTTAAAATGAATCCTTATCAAAGAATACCTTTATATAAATTCTATTTCTTTTTCTAAAATTTTAGCCAATATATTTCCAAAGTATTAAAAAGATGTAGAGAAAAATAAAGATGATATGCTTTATTTAAAACATCAATGGTTATTATTGTAAAACTCAAGAACTAAAAAATAGAAAATTTGAAAGTTAGATTTATATACTAAAATAGGCACCAAAAATAAAAAAACAAAAAACAAAAAGAAAAATGAATTGAAAATACAAAAAAAAAGAAATGATAGCTAAACTTTTTTTACTTTCTTCTCACGATTTAGGTGCTTGGATCTCATCTCAATTTGGATTTGGTCAGAAAAAGCCAGCAATGACAGGTATTATACTCTTGTTATTTATACGATTTCCAATATTTTTATCAAAAATCTCAAAATTTTATGTATAATACTTAAAAATAGGAAAAAATTGAACATATTTCTATTTTTCCCTCACAAACAAGGAAAAAGTAAAACAACAATGTCAAAAACACATTAAAAAAATCACAATTAATAGAAACTTTGAAACAGCAATACGAACCGATGCTTCAACTTTAGCAACCAAAAAAGATCCGAGTACAAGTCGTGTCGATTCTTCTAGCATTTTCCATGAATCAAGAGTTGAAGGCGATGACTCGATCGTCATCCCTGTTACTCACGATAGCAACGAGACGACGAATCAAGAAGCGAAGGGGGGTAGAAAGTTGGAAATAATAAAGAGCATTGTGTATGGAGGTTTAGTTGAATCGATCACAAGCTTAGGCATTGTAACATCTGCAGCAACTGCAGGCACTCCTACAGGTAAAATTCTAAAAATTCCTAAGCTATTTAATAATATTATTATCGATCAATTGATGTTTTACGTGAGAGTTATTTGTCTAATATAAATTTGGTACATAACTGATTTGCAGAGAATATTGTAGCTTTGGCAGTCGCAAACTTGATTACCGGTCTTATTGTCATTTTAAACAATGTAAGTAAATTCAACTTTTTAAGTTTGGTTTATTATTGTTTGCATCAATTCTTTCCAAATCTAAAATGTTTAGTCAATCCGAGAATATTTCAAGTAATAAATACACTTATTACCGTCCTTAAGGTTAATCGTTCGATTCTCACTCTGCAATTAAGTGGTTACCATTGCTGACCACCATTGTATTTTTGACAAGTAAGAAGAAAATGCAGAAATTTTTTTTTTTCACAAAAACTAAAAAGCGGTGGAATTGTTATGTTGGTCAACATAAACATAGGTGTTTGACTGGTAAACAACTAAAGTATTGTTGAAATGTTAGATAAAATACTTATTTGAAAAGTACTTTTAAAAGCAAAACCCTAAACTCAACTCGATATATAATCCACAGCTACATGGACTCAAGTCAAACCAACTTAAGAAGGAAGAAGAAGCACAAGTAGATCCATATGAAGAAGCCTTGGGAGATAGGCATCACTACCTTCTTCACTTCACAACAGCCATCATATCGTTCTTAGTTTTCGGGCTCGTGCCTCCTCTGGTGTACGGCTTCTCCTTCCGCGACACCGACAATGGCGATCTCAAGCTCGCGGTGGTGGCGGGTGCTTCTCTTCTATGCATTACACTACTCGCCATCGGCAAAGCTTACATTCAAAAGCCACACAAGTGGGAGGAGTTTGTGAAGACCGTCGTCTATTACATCGCTCTAGGGTATGGGGCCGCAGGGCTGTCTTACCTAGCGGGCAAGGAGTTCGATAAGCTTCTCGACCAACTTGGCTGGTTTAAGAGGGCTCCAACACCCCCAACTTTCTTGCTTCCTAATATGGATTTTTCAAAACCTTCATGGGGATCCTTGTGAACTTGCTTTATTAGATTTCTTTGTTTCTGCCGAAGTTTTTGAGCTATTTTCTTTGTTTTTTATTGGAGTGTTGTTCAAGAAATAAAGGGTTATGTCTTGTTTTGTAGTAAGTCCTTTGAGGCTTTTTTGTCTTTGAGAAAACTTTTGGCTTCACGTATCCTTTTCACTTTTGGGTATTGTTTAATTTTACTCAATGAAAAAGTATTGTTGGGATTCATTTATTTTCTAAATATGAATAAAAAAATTAACAAAAAGAAACATGTAAATTATGTTGAATGAGAAATTTCGGCTAATTATTAAATGCCACGTCACAAATTTAAAATTAAATGTTGGACCAATCACAAATTTACACGTGTCCTAAATTAATTTTAAAATCGACGAATCAAATTATGCCACGTGTGTTATGGTCGTCCGATGAAATCAACTCATTATAATTCTAATTAAATCAAACTCATAAAGAGATTGGGCCCAAGCCTATGACCCATTAAGCCCATAGCCCATATAAGACCCACCAAGACTCTATAAAGAGAGAAGATCACCTCTCATTTGATTCATTCGGAGAGATAAAAAAGAATTGGAGATTCAGAGCCACCAGAGCGTTCAGAGTCATCCACAAGCTGTAAGTCGAAGAACTTCAAAAGCTACATGCCGAAGAACTTCACAAGTTGCAAAGGTGAATAACTTCACAAGCTACAAGCCAAATACTTTAACACAAGCTGCAAAGCTAAAGAATTTCACAAGTGCAAAGCCGAAGACTTCACAAGCGGAAGACCTCACGAGCCGAAGTACTTCATCAAGTTGCGGATTTCGTTAAACGAGCTGAAGATAATATCAAGCCACAAACTTCGCTGAATACTTTAAAGATTTTTTAATACGCTAGAAGCTGAAGACACAAATTCATTGATTCGAGAACAATCTCACAAGCCCTCGAATTAACGTTCACATATGAGATAATTAATCAGAGGATCATATATTAGAGATCATACACTACATATATTAATACAAATATAGGTTCATTCATTTGAGTTTTATTTTCGTTGAATTTATGTCGAACAGTAATAGAAAAGAGATTTAAATTATTAAATTTGGTTTTTGAACCTTCAATGTTGTAATCTAAGTTCATAGACTTGAAGATTACGTTTATTTACTCTTTATCTATCGAAAGTGACATAACTGATGACCTATCAAATGTCAGAGAAATTTAGAGAGTTTAGAAGAATGAGATACAGAGAAAATAATAGATTTCCATCCACGGAATGATTTCAACTTGTTTCCAAGAGTATATAGACATTAAGCCTAAAAACAGAAAACTAACTGTAGATCAAAAAACAAAATTAAATAAAACATATTAATTAAAAATATAATGAATCTTTGGCCAGTTTACAAAAGAATAACTCACTTTTTTACTATACAAAGAAGATTATCCTCCATTTAACTACACGAGGGTCAAGATGAAATTAAGGAAAGAAAAAAATATTGATATGCGCATATAATTTGCAACTGATATAAGAAATTTCAAGAATTCGGTCGTTCTACAGAGTTTTCAAATCTATTGGGCCAGTGTGTTTATCCTTCCAGCTCAAGTTGTTGAGCGGATTCTACGTTCTTTCTTGTGGAAGGACCTCGAGAGCGGGCGGTCGGAGGCTAAGGTGGCTTGGTCTGAGGTGTGTATTCCTTTCAGGAGGGTGGTTTGGGTGTGTGTCACTTGGCCTCTTGGAATTCTATCGTTATAATGAAGCTACTATGACTTCTATTTAAGCGGGCTGGTTCTCTTTGGGTGGCTTGGGTGGAGGCTTATATTCTTCGAGGAGATTGTATTTGGACTGTTTGTGCTTCGTCTCGGTTCTCTTGGCGTTGGCGAGATATTCTTTCTGTTCGGGATGCTTTTCGGCCTCTGGTTTGGTTTGCTATTGGAGATTTTAGCGTTGTTTTGTGTGGCATGACGCTTGGCTTCCTGTGTTGGGATTGGTGGAGCCAAAACGACGTCGGATCGAGCTAGGGATGATTCAGGATCGAGCCGAGACACTAGTAGAAAGTCGGCCTTCAATGACAGTTAAATTCTATCATTAACATCATTCATGACAATTATGTAATTGTTATCTATTAAGGCATCAAGAAAGAGGAGAAGATGACAAATTTGAAAAATTGTCATCAATGCATTTTCAACTACAGTTATACTTTGTCATGAATAGATTTTCTATCATAATTAATAAATGTCACGGAAAGTCATTTAATTACAATTTATAAGTGTCACTAAAACAATCAAATATTTTTGTCATTCTGTCAATAAATACTTAAAGACGACAATTTATAAATTGTCATGAACTAGTATTTAACGACAGTTAAAGATTGACATGAATTTCTTTTAATGATTATTTATAATTGTCATGAAAACTTTTGTAGTGATAGTTTTAATTGTCATGAAAACATGAACTAGTATTGCCAGTTTTAACAATCACGAAAAATTTGTATAATGACAACTTAAAAATGTCATGCAACATTAAATAATGACACTCGATATATGTCACGTAAAGGTTTACAACGACAATTTAGAACTATCATGATATACTTGCTAATGTCAACATTTAATTGTCAAGAAACAGTTTAATTTTTAATTTTTTTTGTCATGAAACCTATTTTGTTGACATTTATAAATGTAACTTTTTATATAAACTTGTTTTGAAATGTTTCTAAATATCGCTTTCCATAGTTGTACCTGTACCTGTCAATTGTAACATATTTTACATACAAGAACATATATATCCATTAGTACACCAACCCACCTACAAATATAAAGTGTATACATATAGTAAATTATATATACATGTACGAAGGTTTTTCATGTCCATCAACTCCGTACATAAACAAACTATACCAAGTAACTACTAACCCAACAAAAAATGGCCCAACAGTCATCTTTTAGATATTCCAAGTAACTACTCGTCGTGGTTCTCCAAGCTCTTCTTGGAAGACCTAAGCAATGGAAAAAAACCTCAAATATTTCACAATAGTATATGCAAAAGGTCAAACTACAACAAATGTAGCTAACATATTACTATTATATGTTGTTAGAGTTTATACCGTATAAACGTGAAAGGTCAAACTACAAAATGTAGCTAACATATTACAGAAACGCTCGACCCTGCTTCCTTCAACCGTCGCTCCCACATGCTGAGCAACATATTCAAAACAAACAATTAAGAAAACACGAATCTAACTTCGTCAAACATACACAAAATTGGAGAACCTAAACTTTCAAATCTCTTACACTGAGTTTACTTTCTCTTTCTACTTATTGTAAAAGTTAACATAGTAGAAAAGAAAATTATGTTTCAGACCTTCGGAATCAACACACTTTCATAGCCTTTATGTAGTGCCAGAGAGCTAACAATCACAATACGCACCTAAGATATTTTTCTTTCCTTCAAATCACTTACACAAAACCCTTCTTTCACAAAAACAAAGGCGCAAAAAGGCAATATCAAACGGTTTTTGAAATTCTCAAAATACTAAAGACTTTACCCAAATAAAACTGATTTAGGAACAACACAGATGTTGAACACTAACAAACAAAAACAATCTACTTATCTAAATCTTAATTGGCTATCTTTGCTGCAGGATAGCCACACAATTATCCAACTAAACTTTAAACCACACAATTATCCAACGAGACATTATACTATATGCATGACACATATAAACACTAAGTCTTAATTGGCTACTTGCACAATCTTACATAAGCAAGTCAAGCCTAAAATCAATGCACGATATTCACACAAGAGACCACAGAAGTAGCCAGAACGGGTGAGNGTCTTAATTGGCTACTTGCACAATCTTACATAAGCAAGTCAAGCCTAAAATCAATGCACGATATTCACAAAAGAGACCACATAAGTAGCCAGAACGGGAGAGAAAGACAACTAGAAACAAGATATAAACACACCAATCTAAACAACATAGCTTTAACAAACACAAACGGAAATGAAAATTGGTTATCTTTGCTGCAGGATAGCCAGAAAATTATCCAACTAGACTTTCAACTATATGCATGACACAAATATGAACAATAAGTCTTAATTGGCTATCTTTGCTGCAGGATAGCCACACAATTATCCAACTAAACTTTAAACCACACAATTATCCAACGAGACATTATACTATATGCATGACACATATAAACACTAAGTCTTAATTGGCTACTTGCACAATCTTACATAAGCAAGTCAAGCCTAAAATCAATGCACGATATTCACACAAGAGACCACAGAAGTAGCCAGAACGGGTGAGAAAGACAACCAGAAGCAAGATATGAACACACCAATCTAAACAACATAGCTTTAACAAACACAAACGAAAACGAAAATTGGCTATCTTTGCTGCAGGATAGCCAGAAAATTATCCAACTAGACTTTCAACTATATGCATGACACAAATATGAACAATAAGTCTTAATTGACTATCTTTGCTGCAGGATAGCCACACAATTATCCAACTAAATTTTAAACCACACAATTATCCAACGATATATTATACTATCTGCATGACACATATAAACGCTAAGTCTTAATTGGCTACTTGCACAATTTTACATAAGCAAGTCAAGCCTAAAATCAATGCACGATATTCACAAAAGAGACCACATAAGTAGCCAAAACGGGAGAGAAAGACAACCAGAAACAAGATATGAACACACCAATCTAAACAACATAACTTTAACAAACACAAACGGAAACGGAAACATTATCTAGCACATGTCTCACTGCAGGAACAAGCTTTCACAATTAGTAAAAGTAATGAAAGGAAAGAATACGAAAGACATAAAAGTTTGAACACACTCCACTATTGCCAAAATGCTAACTTACAAATAACGATAGAAAATAGAAACTAAAACCGAGGGAGGGACAGAACAAATGAAAACTAAGTGCTTCCTCCCCTCCCAATAATAAAATTAAGGGAATGATCACCCTCTGCCTTTTGCACTACATATATGTACATCATTTTATCTCATTCAATTCTGTGCAATTTATTGCTTTAGCAATCAGTCTGATCTCCTCCAATGTAGTACCCATGTATTTTATTTTCTTTCTCCACACCAAAATGAAACGAAACT